GCCAGTAATTTTTCTTTCTCATATATTCCTGTCTTTTCTAAATATCAAGATTATATTAGCTTCACAAAATAAGTTGGGAAAAAGAGAAAACAATATAAATTGGAACTAGTCCCTCTTACTGCTTTAGCAAGAGAGTAAAATTGGAATTACATTTTCCCAGAATGCTTGGTATAACAGGCTACTTGTTTAGTGAACAAAATGATTTATATTTAATATTTTTATTTTTTAATTTTCTTGAAGTATAATTGGCATCAAGTGCGCAAATCTTGAGTGTATAATTTGAAGAATTTTTTCAAACGTGTCCATCTGTATAAATGCAACCCATAATAAGATACAGAATACTATTCCCAGCACTCCTGCAGGCGTCCTTGAACCCATTCCCATTTGATCCTCTGCCCTAAAGAGAATATTATTCTGACTTCTATCACCAAAGATTAACTGTCTATGTTTGAACTTCATATAAATGGAATCAAACAGCATGTTCTTGATGTGTCTGGCTTCTTTCACTCACACCATGTCTGTGAGATTTATCCATGTTGTTGCTTGTAACAGTAGTTCGTTTTTCTTTCATTGTGTTGTGTTATTTAATTGTATGAATATACCATAATGTATTCATGCATTCTATAGATGATTGATTGACATCTGGGTTATTTCCAACTCATTCTTCATAGAATCAGTTTAGGTTGGAAATTGTTTTAGGAATTTGTCCAGTTTGTCTAATAATTCAAGTTAATTGTCATAAAGTTATCTATAATATTTTCTTATATTTATAATCACATTACATCTATAGTTTATGCCTATATTTTTATATCTAATATTACTTATAAATCCACTGTTTGTTTTAACATTGATTGACTATGCCAGAATTAGTCAATTTTAATAGTAAATCCATGAGTGCCAAAATAGGATGAGAAGAATACTCCTGGATTTTCTCTATTAACAGAGCTAAGCCTCAAGCACTTGAAAAACTAAACTGATTATGAGCTTATTATAGTAAGCTTTTTACAGACTAATGAGCCGAACTTGCTTATAGTTGTGTAACTAAAATATCATTTTCTTGCCTTTTTCAAAACAAGGAAATCCTGATGCAATGTGACTGGTGTTTTTACAACTAGAAAATGAAGTTGCTAGTAACTCTGTGGTAGCTTGCAAAATGTTCACAAATTCTTTCCATTCCTGCTAGCTGTGTTCCCTTTTGCAGTGTGACTTTGCCATTGAGTGTTTGATAAGTGGAGTTGATTTCAAAACCCTTGAAGCTTTGCTAAGTCACATGACTTGCTTCGACCAATGGAACATTAACAAATGTGATATAAGCAGAGGCTTGAAAATACTTTGACGTTAGGGCCTCCCATCTTATGTTGCTGGGAATTTGTCTGCTGCTATCTGAATGAGCCCAGAGTAGACACCAATGCCTGTCAAACCAACTGCTAGATGAGTGAGGACGAGTCAGACCATCCAGCCCAAGCCAAGCTTATCCAGACCAGAGCTACCTGGTGAATCCACAGAAATATTAAAAAAAAGAATAGGCCATGGTTACATATGTTTAACTAGATGTTCCCCCTATATACACCGACTTTCCTTTTCAGCTTTTTTTTTTTTTTTTGAGACAGAGTTTCGCTCTTGTTACCCAGGCTGGAGTGCAATGGCGCGATCTCGGCTCACCGCAACCTCCGCCTCCTGGGTTCAGGCAATTCTCCTGCCTCAGCCTCCTGAGTAGCTGGGATTACAGGCACGCGCCACCATGCCCAGCTAATGTTTTTGTATTTTTAGTAGAGACGGGGTTTCACCGTGTTGACCAGGATGGTCTCGATCTCTTGACCTCGTGATCCACCCGCCTCGGCCTCCCAAAGTGCTGGGATTACAGGCTTGAGCCACCGCGCCCGGCCCCGACTTTCCTTTTTAAAAAATCTCTATTTATTTCCCAGGCACTTATAGGGGTGATGGATCTCTTGGGGTCTAATTAATTTATCAGATTCATCCTCAGGATTGATAGTACCAAATTGCAAAAGTTGAGGAATATATCAATTCATTGTTTGCCTTTGCAAATAATTGGCAGAGTTTCTCAATGTGGAGCAGAGTTGCTAATCTTAGATTACCCATTTGAGTCATGATTTCCTACTATACAAAGCAGGAGTTGTTATGGGGTAGAAGAATTCTTAACACAGGAATGACAATCAAAGATAAATTGAAGCACTACAGTTAAAAAAAAAAAAAAAAAAAAGTTAGACATGGACACATGGAAGGGAACAACAGACCCTAGGGCCTGCTTGAGGATGAAGGGTGGGAGGAGAGGCAAGATCGAAAAACTACCCATTGGGTATTGTGCTTATTACCTGGATGATGAAATAATCCATATGTCAAACCCCCGTGACACACAACTTACCTATATGAAAACACCTACAAATGTACCCCTGAACCTAAAATAAAAGTTTAGAAAAAATTAGAATTATCTCTTGGATTCACAAGATATGGAGAGAAGCCAGCTATGGAATACCTGATTTGAAAATAGGTTGATTCATGTTTTGTAGCAGGTCTGAATAATCCATTTGTCTAATTCACTGTGTTCCATATACCTATTTTCAAAGATAGTTTCCCAAGTTCTGAGAAGTCCTTATGTATTAGCTGACTTTGCCCTAAAATTTGGGTTTAAAAAAGTTTTTTTTTTTAGAGACAGGGTCTCACTCTATCATCCAGGTTGGAGTGCAGTGGTATGATAATAGTTTACTGCAGCCTTGAACTCCTGGGTTCAGCAATCTTCCCACCCCAGCATTCTAAGTAGCTGGAACTACAGATGTAGTAACACCAGACCTGGCTTAAATTTTTTTTTTTTGTAAAGATGGGATTTCACTATGTTGCATAGCATGGTCTGGAACTACTGGCTTCAAGTAATCCTCCCACCTTGGCCTCCCAAATTCCTAGGAGGTACAAGTATGAGCCACTGTGCTCTGCCCTAAAATTTTTTAATAAAAATTTTTCTTCTAAGTATGTAATAGTATATTTTGACAAAAGGTGAGAAAGGTTTCTTCTGGAAGCAACCAATGCTAATTGATAAAATTGATATATAAATGGGTTTTGGTTTCCAGCTCTCTTATGGGAGAGAAATTAAAGGGAATCAGCAGAGGAGCAATGTTGGTTTGTCTCTTGTTGCTTTACTAAAAAGAAACACCATAAAACATTTCTCTAATTTCTCAACACTACTATAAATAAGATAACTTATAGAGAACAAAAATCACAAGTGACCAGTTATTTCCCAAACAAATTTTTCATTTTTACAACACAAAGGGAAAACTAGAAGAATTAGCTGGTTTACAGTATTCCACATCTAGCATGAGATGTCCCAGATGGCAGAGAAGAGAGAGTTTTGGATGTAATTGAAACTCTATAGAATTGACTGCAAATGTGCACATATATATACACACACACATCTTCCTATCCAATTAAGCAGCCAAATGCTCAGCAATCCCATTGCTTCTTTAGTTTAATTAAAGTCGCTGGTTTTCCAGTGCCGTCATTTAGAGTTCACATCAGATGTGATCTAAAGAAACGTGTATTTAGGAGAAGGTATCCTGGGTGAAAGATACAGCAACAACTGAATGGTCAACAGAACTTCTGTCAATGGGCCAAGCTTTGGGAGCATCAATATATAGAACTTTAGAATTCCATTTTGTATCCTCTTCTCCCCCTAAAAGAAAGAGCACTAGAAATTATTCCTTATGTGGCTGTTTAATAGTGGTAGATCATTTTGATTAAGGAATTAAATGGATTGAGGTGCATGAGAGCAGGAAAGAGGAATGGCAAGAGGGGGATTATAGGATAAGGTGTACTGCTACTTTAAAATTATGTATGCATGGCCCCATCCAGGTCCCTCCTACTGTTTGAGGTACCAGCGGAAAGCTTGGGGAGCTCAGTTCCAGGAGGGTCACCAAGCAGACTACGCTCTGAGTTTCAGGTAACCAAGTGTTTGCTGTGCAGAATACTTTACCTGGGCACCCAACTCTTCCTTCCAGCTTTCCTGCTGCTACAGCCTATTTGCTAAGAGTAACCAGGGGTTACAGCAGTGTTGCTAGGCAACGAGGGACAGCCGTCCTGTTGAAGAGCCATTTGCCACACTGAAGGGACTGGTTGAAATGCAATAAAGAAATGGTAACCCAGCTTGTTTATGAAACAATTACTTGCACAGTATTGGGGATCCATAAGCAACCTACAAATTTGTAGTCAAAGGAGGAAATACACAAACATTTTGCTAAATATTAAAGCATAGAACAGACAGATGGTGTTGGGTTTCTAATCAGCTTTACTGTGAGCTTAAAGTTGCTGTACATGCTGGGATAAGGGGAATGGCCCAAAGTGCTTTGCCAGCTTTATTTTGGGCATCTGCAAGTTAGCTCTGGGTTACAATGTACAGTGCATGTGTAAAGAAAATCTACAAGATTCTTTACCTTGTTAAGTAGAGTTAGTAATGCTATTGCTGATTCCCTGGGTGAAATAGCAACCTAAAACTACTGTATGTGTAATATATTAATAATTAGATACACACATATGTTATATATGTATAACTGGTTATACATATAACTGGTTGTCCTGTGGACTTCTAAAGTGCTTGATTTGCCCAATGCTATCAAGAGATTTACCAAAAGAATGAATATTTTACTCTGAGCACTGCACTTTAAAATGTTCATTAGTGAACACTTTTGAGAAGTTCATTAGTGTTGCTTCTAAGAGCTCAAAGTCCTCTTGCCTGGGATGAGCTTCAATTTTAAAGATGCAGCAGCTTTCCCTTGACGCTCTATGTTTTTGATTCTCAGATACCAGCTGCTACTCATGTCTTCACCATTGTTAAGAACATCGTTGATATTAACTTACTGTGAGAACGTGTCTGCAGTTTCCAGAAAATGGAGCTTCGCAATGTTACTTGAAGTACCCTGCTTTAAAGTATTGCTGGAAAGTGGCATGGGCCTGATTACTTATTTAGAAACGCTTTATCAAGAGGAGAATGCTTGTTTGTGAACATGAATTGCCCGATTCTTTCATTGGGCCCTGGCTTCTTGCTTCATGTCATTGAAATGTTGATCTTTGCCTGTTTTGCTTTGATATCCTTGGCGAACTCACGAGGTCTTTTCCCAAGGCTGGAGAATGTGGGAGCTTTCAAGAATGTTTCAATTGTGCCAACGCAAGCAGTATGTGGACTCCCCGACCAAAGCACTTTTTGTCATAGCTCTGCTGCTGCTGAAAGTATTCAGTTCTGTACCCAGCGGTTTTGCATTCAGGATTGCCCATACAGATCTTCACACCCTACCTACACTGCCCTTCTCTCAGCAGGCCTCAGTAGCTGCATCACACCAGACAAGAATGATCTGTGTCCGAACTCCCATAGCAATTCTACAAGTTTTATTTTTGGAAATCACAAGAACTGCTTTTCTTCTCCTCCTTCTCCAAGGCTGGTGGCATCATTCACCTTAGCTGTGTGGTTGAAACCTGAGCAACAAGGTGTAATGTAAGTAGTAGTGTGGGTATAAGCTTTCCCAGGTCCTGAAAACCAGTGGTAGAGATCATTGCAGCCTGAATTCCAAACCAGAAATGAAGGCTAACAATATAGAATTCATGCTATTGAAGACTAACTCTTCCAATTGTTTCCCAAATCTAATTTTTTTTCTCTTCTATGGATGAAGTGGACCATGAAAAAAGAATGTGTTAAAATAGTTCATTGCAGGCAGATGTGTTTATGCCGGAATCATGTATTTTCCATAGATTAGCTCGACGTTTGGTCTTACACTTCAAAGCCCAAACCAGACTCACAGTGAGTTTTAAGACATAGAAACTTGTAAAACAAATAATTAATATTTTCAAGGTCTTAATCTGGGTTTATATAACATTTCCTTACTGGGGTGTAAAATTTTCATTAGGCATATAGTTCTCTCAGGCCTTGGTACTATTTTCTTCATCCTCATTTCCCCAAGAAGAGATGTTTGTTTGACTCATGGAAGATGTTCAGTAATATAAGTTGAATATATAAATAGCCCTGCATCTCTAAAATGATATAGCTTTTAGTCCTTTATCTTGCGCTATTTTCATTTTCCAATTAGTTAGAAAATATGTAGGTAAGTATGAGAGATTCTCAAAAGCTTTCATGCTGTTCATCCCAGAGAAATGCCTTCAATGAGTCTGGGTCATAGTAATGACCTTTTTTTTTGTTATTTAATCACCAGTTCTTCATTCTGTAATATTTTCTTGAGCTGATATCTAATTTCTCCTAAATATTTATCACCAATTTGGAGATTTTAATAAATGGGACACTTTTGAAGAATTTTTGCTTATCTTTTGTCTTCCTAGAGGTCTTTTGGCCCCTTCTCTTGGGACATTTTCTTTGTGTGACAGCGTTGGCTGGGTATCTAAAAACATGTGAAACAAACCAGAAAAGAATTAAAATCTCATACGCAAATATGACTTAAAGGTCTTTGGTGTTTAGTTTCAATTTGCCAAGTGAAAGTTGGCATGTTTTCATTTTGTTTTAAATTTAGATTAATCACAAACCATTCCTATTTCTACACCTCTCCTCAAAGAAAACCTTTTTTTTCTTACTGTCTGAAATTCTAGTAAATTCAGACTACTCTGTTTATATAACTAGTTTCCAAAGAGTCTTAAATTGTTGTCTTTTGACAAATAGGGCTAAGATAAAATATCCTTCTGAGCTTGTAGGGAAATATCTGTAGCGAATTCATCTGCTATTGACATCATTTTGTATAAATAAGACAGAGAAATATTTATAGGGTTGGAAAAACATGGTTTATGGTTTTGAGAGTTCCTTGTATCAAGGTCGTTTCCATTTTCAAAATTAAAATACCTTTGGGAATTGAGGGAATTTCGGGGTGTTTGCACAGATAAGTAAAACAAACAAAACATGGATTATCCAATTATTGTTTATTCAGGAGCAGAATAAATCCAGTTCCTAAATATTTTGCTACCTGCCTTCCTTTCACATTTATTATCTACCAAAGCTAGTATGTTTACAAGCAAACAAAATAGCAAGGAAGATAATCAATAACATATTAAGAAATGCATTTTCAGTAAGCTTGGGGAAATAAGTCTGCATTTAGTAAATACATTCTTGAGTAATGGTTGAACTCTCACTCATAGATTTAAACTGAAGAAAAATGAATAGGGGCAAACTGTTTTCAAGTTAAGACCTGATGGGAAGGGATAAAGAAAAACTCTCTTCAGTAAATTAGAAATATTCAACTACTGAAGGGTTAAAAATGCAATTTGCATTAGAATTTAAATAAAACTTTTATTTCTGCTTATATAAAACCTTTATGTCATCTAAATCTATTTGCCTAAATTGAAAATACACTTGAACTCATAACTTTATTCCAAATATACATAAAAAATATAAAATTATGACAGTAAAAGAGGGACTACTAGTATTCTACAATCTTATTCTTACCTCCTGACTCAGGAAAAAATAGATGCAAGTGAGAAGAAACGATTTGTGAAAAATGTGCCCTTTAAGGAAAATTTTAAACCATCTTTAGCAGTAATTCTTGATTGGCCCAATTTTATACCTTTCCCTCTCTGATGCTTCCTGCCAAATATGATCACAAACTCATCATTTTTTGAGACAACTGTATACTAGGTGTGTGTGTATCCTCAGAATACTCATGATCTAAGTGATCTAATGGAGGGTACAGATGGATGAGTGCTATTACCTAGGCAGCACAGTATGTTAAGTGAGCATAAAGTGAGACCCCCTCAACCAACCTTGAGCAGGAAGAAGGGCTCCAGGACCAAGCATAATCATTCAGATGCCAAAGCAAAGTAGGAATTAACCAGGTGAAGAAGGGAGCCCAAGGTCTGAAAGGTGTGTCACTGTAATAAGGATTGAGGTAACTTAAAATCATTTGATAACTGCCCTGACACAAGACCTCGAAGTATTCTGAAAACGGTTCTACTTTATCAAGGTATTATTTCTCCATGTTTTGGAAGGCTGAATGACCTTTCACCTCAGATATTTCACATGATCTCAGTGCCTCAGTTGGACTGTGTGGTCAGGGAGAGGTAGCCAGTCATCTTACAGACACTGGCTTTGGCTTTGGACCAGTTGATGATGGCTTCCCATGGGAATTAAATACGGTGATTCTGACTTCAGGGCTACCAATTTAGAGCCTTCCATGGACACTAAATTCACTTGACATTAAAAAAAAGATTTGCACTGATGACTCAATACTCAAGCAGCCTGTAGTGTGTTGCACCACTCTAAAAGCAATAGCAGGAGAACTAATGAGCCAATAGCCTAAATGTTAGTTTTGCAGAATGATTCAGTCACTCTAGTTTCCATCGTGAATCTCAAATGAAGGGTGTTGAGGTTCTGGGGAATATATTGTAAATAAGAATTCTATTTTTTATTGAAATAAAGGGGCCTCTTCACTGGAATAAAGCTTGCATTGAACATAGTGACATTTAGGCCCATACTCATAGTGCACCATTTTGAGGGGAGTTTGGGGTCATTTTAACACCACTGTAACTGCACAATACCTTAGCATGTCTTTTTGGTTGGATGCTGACCTTTTCTCTCTTTTCTGGTTGCTTCCTAAGGTGTGTTATAGAAAAGACAGTAGATGGGCAGATTGTGTTGAAACTTACAATATCTGAGAAAGAGACCGTGTTTTATTATCGCACAGTAAATGGTTTGCAGCCTCCAATAAAAGTAATGACACTGGGGAGAATTCTTGTGAAGAAATGGATTCATCTTAGTGTGCAGGTGAGTAAAATAAAAAATATTTAACATTTGGTTAAACACAAGGATTTGTCTTACTTTCTCTAACTGGCATCTACTCAGAAAATCTGTAGCAGTATCTTTTAGATTTCAGGTGTATTTAAATGACAGCTAAAGAAGAAAAACATTTAAATGACCTAGGGATGTAGATCTTGATATACTAGCATTTCCTCCCCAAAATTGCTTTAAAATCTTTCACAGAAACTTAATGCTATCTGTAATTATAATATCCTCAGAAAATTTTTGTTGCATTGGGTTAGTATGTTCTATTTTGTTTAAATATGTCTAAGGGCTCACTTGATGTCTGGTACTAATTTTACTAGTCATGGATGTATGAATACCCCAGCTTGATTTTTACAGCTGTCTTTCTCAGATAGCACCTGATGAGTGAATAAAATTTGTCTGTTGCATTAAAATGGTGACCTTAGAACTAATGAACTTTACACTTGAAGCACTCAAAAGGTGTTATATTATTATTTTAGTTGTCACCCACAGTTTGCATGAACCTTAGAAGCTGCTAAAGGCTAAAAGAGCTGTGAGATGTCTGGTATTTACAGTCTCCAGAAGAAAGGCACAGTTCAGCCTTTTGTTTTTTTCAGGGCACTGGAATAGCCCAATACAGTTAAAGCCACACTTGCCTTTCAAACCAGGCATACTAGTCAGTTCTCACACTGCTATAAAAAAAAATACCTGGCCTGGCACAGTGGCTTCCGCCCATAATCCCAGCACTTTGGGGAGCCGAGGAGGGCGGATCACCTGAGGTCAGGAGTTCGTGACTAGCCTGGCAAATGTGGCAAAACCCCGTCTCTACTAAAAATACAAAAATTATCCAGACATGGTAGCACTTGCCTGTATTCCCAGCTATTCGGGAAGCTGAGGCAGGAGAATCACTTGAACCCAGGAGGCGAGTTTGTAGTGAGCCAAGATCATGCCACTGTATTCCAGCCTGGGCAACAGAGTGAAATTCCATCTCAAAAAAAAAAAAAAAAAAATCTGAGACTGGGTAATAAGTGGGAGTTTAACAATGAGAACACAACAAAGGGAGGGGAACATCATACACCGGGGCCTGTCAAGGTGGAGGGCTAGGGGAGGAATAGCAGGGTGTAGGAGTTAGGGGAAGGATAGCATTAGGAGAAATACCTAATGTATATGACGGGGGATTGATGCAGCAAACCACCATGGCATGTGTATACCTAAGTAACAAACCTGCATGTTCTGCACATGTATACCGGAACTTAAAGTGTAATAATAAAAAAGAGTTTAATTGGCTCATGGTTCTGTGGGCTGTACAGGAATCATGATTCTGGCATCTGTTCGGTATCTGTGGAGTCTTTAGGAAACTTATAGTCATGGCGGTAGACAATGGCTGAGGGAACACTTCATATGGCCAGAATAAGAGGAAGAGAGAGCAGGGAGGTACTACACACTTATAAACAACCAGATCTCATGAGAACTCTATCTGGAGAATAGCACTAGGTGGGTGGTGCTAAACCACTGATGAGAAAATGCCCCATGTTCCAATCACCTCTCATCAGGCCCCACCACCAACATTGGGGATTACAATTTGACATGAGGTGTGAATGGGGACACAGAGCCAAATCATGTCACCCCAGGTGCTGGGTACCACAGTTTCCAGTGTGGACTCATGTAAGCATCCAGCCAGTGGCTCATGTGAACCTCATTTAAACTAAGGACATTTATACCCTCATTCATTTTATAAAAATCGTCTTTGATATCTTGTTTTATTCATCCTGAAGCAGGTAGTATGAGTGTATTTCCTCAGAGGGTCTTGAGAATTGTTATTTGGCTTTCAAATACTAAGATATGAGTTTAGCGAATGTGTGGCTGGCAGGGGTCAGTGTTTTCGTATGCAACTAGGTTGAAAGGATAGACATCAGGTCTTGTCCATAGGACACAATGGCTTTAGTCTGTCAGTGCTTAGTCTCCAAGTGTTCAGTAGTTGACAGGAGACCGATTTGTCCTAGCCTTGAAGTTTCCATTGTCTTGAGGTCTCCATTCTGCCCACGGACCAGTCCTAGAGAATTGAGTTTTAATATTAAAAACATAGAAATAGAAACTGCTAAAGAAAGACAATGCCAAAGATGCAGAGGAAAGAAAGATGATGGCATCTTTGCAGAAAATGCCAAATAGATATATTTGTTGGATATTTTCGTATCAACAATAATAAAAAAAAAATCTCTTTACTTGCTTTTATTTTGTCTTATCTGTGTAACTGTGCCATGTTTTGGCAGGCAGTAGTACATTAAAAGCTTTACAAAGAAAGTTTAAAATCTAAATGCAGGGAGGTAACCATGACTGAATTACTCTCTTGGGAATAAAATGCTCTTAGAGTGCCTATTGAAATCAGCATTATCATTTCAATACATGTCAAATATGAGTCATTTCCTAGTTTAGGCAAAATTTCTTCATAAATCTTTAAATCTTTCCCTTCTTTCAAGAAAAGGTTAAAGTACTTATGATTTAATGAGACTGCTTTATTTCATAACTGTTGGACTATCAAGAGAAAACTTGTCCTTTCTAATTTGTACACTATTTATTTTTTTGTGTAAGTTTTAAATTATTCTGCATTTTATATTAAAACTACAGAACTAGATAGTCATAAAATGTTAGAAAACCATTCAGATCTGTCATTTAACCATCTAGCACCTATTAAATATTTCAGGGGTACCTAGCATTATGGGAATCTGGATTCATTCAAATGAAAATTACAGAGCAATTATTTACTCTAAAATGGAGATCTACATAAGGTTCCTTTATATTGGATACCAGTCTGAATATGTTTAAGGTATTATAAAATTTATAAAAATCCATATTATACATTTTTTTGAGACAGAGTTTTGCTCCTGTTGCCCAGGCTGGAGGGCAATGGCATGATCTTGGCTCCCTTCAGTTTCTACTTCTCGAGTTCAGGCAATTCTCCTGCCTGAGCCTCCTGAGTAGCTGGGATTACAGGCACCCACCACCACGCCAGCTAATTTTTTATATGTTTGGTGGAGAAGGGGTTTCACCATGTTGGCCAAGCTGTTCTTGAACTTCTGACCTCAGGTGATCCACCTGCTTCAGCCTCCGAAAGTTCTGCAATTATAGGCGTGAGCCACAGGGCCCAGCCTAGATTTTTAATAAGGAATTGCTAATTGCTCAAAAATTGTTATAAGAAGTAATAGAAGCTGGGCACAGTGGTTCATGCCTGTAATCCTAGCATTTTGTGAGGTCGAAGTGGGTGGATACCTTGAGCCAGGAGTTTGAGGCCAGCCTGGGCAACATGGTAAAACCTGTCTCTACAAAAAACACTCTAAGAAAATTAAACAAGTGTGGTGATACATCCCTGTAGACCCAGCTACTCAGGTGGCTGAGGCTAAAATGGAAAGAGCACCTAAGCCCAGGAAGTCGAGGCTTCAGTGACCCATGATCACGCCACTGCATTCTAGCCTCGGCAACAGAACAAGATCCTGTCTTTAAAAAAAAAAAAAAAAAAAAAAAGTAACAGAAAGGACAGGAGGTTAGGTGTTGGGAAATCTGATTTAGGTTATGCTACTTTGTAATTTTAAGAATAAAACTTTTAGGAATCCATGTAATAGTTGATTAATAAGGAATGTACTAATTGCTTAAAAGTTGTTATAGGAAGTAGTGGAGGCTGGGGACAGTGGCTCATGCCGTACTCTACCAGCCTCAACTTCTCAAACGGAGTCATTTGACTCAGTTTCCCCATTTACATAAGATTGAACTAGATGAACAAAATAAGGGCCTCTTGAATTCTGCATAAAAAAAGTAAGTTGAGTGTAGCACAAGTCATTAAAGTATGGCAAGCTCTTGACTTGTGTAGGGTTATTTAGACATCCCGTGACAGAGCCTTCCCCTTAGCCAATGATCAGGCTTGTGCTTTTTTTCTCTTCTCTAATGCTTCCTGGTGTTTACATAAAAACTTTGTTTTTTTGCTAGATTTTATGGCCAAAATATAGAGAAATGTAGCTTGTTACTGTTTCATTATATAACTGCAAGAACATTTGCAGAAAAAAATAGTATAAAATGTAACTTACTGTTGCGTGATTATATAATGCATCTAAACTCCATTTAATTTGTGGGTTAGGGACTTTTATCATGCTAGGCATAGGATAGGACAAATGATTAATAATCTTGTTTAGTGCAATTTCAAACTACAAACCTGTACTTTATATATATGCATATTTTCACCTGTCTTCCAAAAGGCCACAGATTGATGAATTTATATAGTGTGTGTGTTTCCGTGCATGTGTAAAAATACAACATACAACTTATTTGTGGAATGGCTCAGAAGCCAGAATTTTACTTAGTTGCTTATAGTGATTTTTTACTGGTTTACTGATACCTGGTGGCATAAAATTAATTAGCAGATCTCAATGCTTTATCCCAGACAGTTCACTTAGTATCAGCTTCCCATCAGTAAAATTAGAATTCCAGTTTACCAAAATAAAAAAAAAAAAGATTCTAAATAATTAAATCTCTGGGGGAAAGGATGCCAGGAAATCCAGACATGCTAATGTTGGAAATTGAATTTCCTAAACAAACAAACAAATGCTCAATATTGTTATGGTAATGAATCTCACAGCTTTTATTCCAAACTAGCATTTTAAAGCTTCAACATGTTGGAAAATGATTAGTGTTTAAATTAATATTCATTTAGGGACTTGAATCTGACAGGATTACATTGAAATTTTACTTAGGGGTTTAGTATATTGGCTATTTCAAATTATATCAAGCTAAAATTCATTATGTCTTTTATACTAAAACTGGAAAAATAGATTCATACTTTTTATTATCAAATAGGGAACACTGTTAATATTAACAGCTTTTCTAAAGCTTCGTTTTCATATTGAATCGGCACATGCTGTAGTTACATACGTAGGATTTCATATGGTTACTTTTATAAAAGTTTTGAAATATGTAAAAAAATTTACTTTAGCACTTTGTTATGAATTGGTAGATAA